CCCCAAAACCCCAAAACCCCATAGCTAAAAGTCAATAGTCGATTAAACTTAGCTTTTAGAAATAGTAATAGAATATCAAAATGCTTCTATTTTACCCTCTATACTATTTATCTTAAGAGTTATTTGAAACCTATTATCTATAATGTTCTTCTGACTTTTGAATAGTTAACTATTTTTGAAGTCTACCTTAGCAATTAAAGGTATCATTGATTCCTTTACTCTAATAAAGTTTAAAGCATATTCTCCTTCTTTGTAAAACATCACATTGAATATTCTTTTTCCTCTGTCCTACTTCCTGTTTGGTCTTTTAGTTTCTGCAATGTAATCAGTGTCTATAACAGAAAAGAATTCATCATCTCCACCATGCATGATTGGATCAATCATCCAAATATATCCGGTTTTAGGCCATTCACCTAGAACGATGTCTAGTTAATCCCAAATTTATAGCTTTGGGAAATTAGCTTTCCCTAACGGATCCAAAATTCTATCAAATACAAATCTTCTGATAAGAAGCTAGCAGTTTAATTCATTTATTAAAGTCTAAAAGATTATTTAGTAAAGTATAAGTAATCTTACAAATATTAGAAGTAGAGTAGTAAGAGTTGAAGACTTAATTGCCATGAAAGTTAAATAAATTAGTTAAAATCATAATTTAAAATAATAATTTAATTTATCTCATCTAAGAATGGCATCTGCATTAAGTCAGGTCAGTTAGCCAGTTGGTAATAATGCCTCTGCTCTTTCAGCACCAGCTAACTAGAACAATCAAGAAGATCTATAATTCGTGGGGAGAATGATTAAGCCTGCAGAAGTCGGCTAAATTTGGAACTCTCCTAGTCCACAAGAAAATCTAATACCTGTGATAAACAAATATATTGAATTTTAGAAGACTTAGAATTCAACTTTTGATCAATATGATGAGTATGAGAATTGGTTTGAAAATGAAGAGAAACTATTACTTGCTGATTACATCCTTCAAAACTTGACATTCGCTTGTGATGAGCTTTAACTCTCTTAGAATCATTATGCAGTTGCATTAATATTGAATGCATTCATCGATGTTGCATTAATTAAAGAAACTCATAGGTCTGATTACGATAAATTCAGCACTCAAACTAGATTCACTCTATTAAGAAACTTTTGTTAAGAGTAATTCTAAGCTAAGGTCATTCAAAGACATCATGTCAAATAAATCATTGACTTCGCTCATAATACTATCTTTAAACATTTAGCTCTTTTTGAAAGTGTTTTCAATCAAAAGAGAAAAGAAACTGTCAAGAGTATTAAGGTTACTTTGCCTGAGTAGCAAGTGGCTGGTAATCTACAAACTAATTGCTAAGAAATTGTTGAGGAAAGACATGATGATGAAAATCAGAGATCTTAATAAGATTTTTATTAAGATTAGGATGACCAAAAGAATGAGGAATAGGAGTAAGAAGATGAGATTGACCCTGATGATCCATTATATGGTCTTGAATAAAGACTTAGACACATGAACCTAGATGAAGATAGCAGAAGAATTATAAAAGAAAAACTGGAAGAAGCTAATAGTAAAATAAAAAATGCTCTAGAAGATAGACAGAGAAATTTAGATTCTAAACTAGGAGACAAAGGTGGAGCTGCAGCTGGATAGAAGAAAAAATGACAATCAAGATAGTTCTTCATATATAATTTTAATTTAAGCCAATTACTATTTCAAAATTATAATTATTGCTCCTCTTTATTTATTTTCTTATTCGTCTGTATATAATAAACTTACTAATGCCGGGGTTTTGGGGTTTTGGGGTTTTGGGGTTTTGGGG